GTGTTCTAGATACATATTTAACGCCAGATTTCCTTTAAAGTCTAATGTCAGTTGTAAATTCATGGAAAGCTGTTATATGTTTAAAATAACTTTTCTCGGCAAAACACAGACTATACACCTCTACCATTTCTTGCAATAGGAGTCCAAACCTTACTTGCTGTGATTGTTGGTTTTATATGCTGGCGTGTCGACACAATAATGCTTGTTCAAGAGGTTAGCTCGTATTTCGATCCTGGGTGTCACGGTCTGAGAGGGATACCAAGTCCCTGCAACAGGTGGAGACACTCAGTAAAAATTTACACACATTTAAATCGATCCCATGTCGTCTGCGCGCGACAACCGATCAAGTCATTAAGCCATTATGTCATTACGTCAAGCCTTTCCAATAGTAGCAGACATACACTTTTTTCTTCCTAGAAAGTCTCCTGGGGGCGTATTAGCTTTAGACTAAAGTGAAGTAACGAGGAACTCGACAAAAATCTAGCTAAAATATTTGCCTGGGGCATGCTTTAAACAAAACATCAAAACAAGAAGTAGCTGTCACAAGATTTTTGGGAAAAGTAAACAAACTGGGTCCCACATTTGGGGCTTTCTTTATTAACCTAAATTACGCACATCGGCCTCCGAGCTCTTCACTCTTTGTCGGTACCAATAAATGTAGGCAGTCGTGACGTCATACGTGAAAGACGCTAATAAAAAGAGGGGATCCAAATGAACGTTTATTAGATTTCCTTCAAAGTCTGATGCCATACAAAAAAACAATCGTTGAAAGGTGTTAAATGCTAAGCAGAACTTTTTTCTTGACATAAGACAACGACTTTTTTCTGTTTCGTGTTCCCTGTATGACGTCTGAATACATTTTCAATTTTAAAAAAGGGTTTATTCCTTATCTACAAAAGTAAGTAAACTTAATTCGTATGGGAAGACTTTTACAGCGCTCTCAACTGCATACAGTCATATGGTAGCACGAGGCTCAAGTTGGTTGTTTTCATGTTAGTTCACAGCTTGGCTTGGTTTTACTTTATGATTGAAGTTAAAAATCATGTAAATTTTTTATAGTAAAGCCACTCTTAAATCACGAAGGATAGAAACATTGTGATAGTAGACTTTAGTCTTCCATTCTGAACTTACTTGACCTATTTTGGATCCGGGATTTCCACTCTCTGTGAGACCACTTTCGAGTTGCAGTGACGCTACACACAATTGAGACTTTCAACTTATTTTAAGAATGGAGGGATCAAAATTTACTCTTACCAACGTCACCAATAAGCTTCCAAATCATGACGCACATGCTGTGATAGTTTTGTATACTATGTACCCTGGGTACCTGAAGGTGTCATCAAAAATTATCCGGCTCATTGATTGACGTGCAATGACTCACCAGTGCTTGTGGTCACTAGTACTAGTTGCTTACTCTATAAAACCCCACGGATAAAACATGAGAATGGTCATTATTTAGACAGGACCTTAAATTACCACCAACCTTCGACAGATCTAGACTGGTGGAGAGCCTTTAAACGGTTTTTCAACCGACCCAAGCCTAAGAATCATGGCACGTCATGACGCGATAGTTTTTGTTGGTGAAGTAGTTCCGAATGGAGAGTGTATGTTTACTTTTACTGTTTTGTATACTGTGCTAAACACAACCTAAGTTGTGGCAAGTCATGGCCTTATGTTGCGTCCTCGGTAAAGTTACTTATCACGAATTTTCCTTATTTCATTCAGGTGGGAATCTGTACCCGGCTATAAGCAGCGAAAGATCTTGTCGGTTTCTTAATGTTTATTCGCTTAATCAGTTGATTGTACTGTATGCAAAGTCGATAATATTTATGAGTGTTCTAGAGTCTGTTAGGAAAATAATACGGATTATAAAGCGCATAGAGTTTGCTGTTGAGCGGGGACATGCACTATACAAACGCTATTTATCATTACTTTGTAAACAGTACTTTGGGGGCTATCGTGGCCTAGAGGTTAAAGTGTTGGCCTCTCATTCAAAGGTCCCGGGTTCGAATCCTGGTAGCGACGAAAACATTTTCTTCTCTAAAATTGTCTCCTTTCCTGCTCTCTAGCAATGTTCTGTTGTCTGCTTTCATTTCCACTTTCTGCCCCCAC